ATGTAAAGGCTTGCTAGTGAGGCAGTGCTCGTTGCGCTTCTTCTCCTCATGATCACCCATTAGTTAACGAAAGTGCAATTTTGTGCTTGAAGCTGAAGATCTTCACTAGAAGACCATATCCAACTCATTCTTGTCACGAAGACTTTTGAGAGAAAAGATGAAACTTAATAATATAGCATGGTGTGCAAAACATTTGCGTCAGCTGGGATTCGAACCCAGATTTCACCCTACCCGAGGCGCGTGGTGAACCGTTGCACAACCGACGCCCGTTTTGACACCACTCTTTCTTCCTCATCAACGCGATAGCTGTCAACAGCCAACCGTCTACGGTCTGGCCGTGGGCAGTCATTCTTGACATTGAACCCACTTATGCTGACGGACATTGGGTTTCAATAATCAATCACAATTCTTTTGATTTGACAACCCATTTGCAATGGTATGCTGCTACAAACAACTAATAATCCCACTCCGCATTATTTTGTTTATTGTAACATCATAAACCCACTCTTATCGAGTTTATTGTAACGTAATAAACCATAACATCATAAACCACTCTACATTATTGGGTCTATTGTAACATCTACCACCGCAAAGGCGGTCAAATGAAATGAATTCTGATTGATAATTGAAACCCAATATCTGTCAGCATATGTGTCTTCAATGTCAATAGTGACTGCTCACGCCACACCGTAAGACGGTGGCTGTGACAGCTAACGCGTTGTAACGTGGAAAGAGTGGTATCAAAACGGGCGTCGGTAGTGCAATGGTTCTACCACACCCTCTCGAATAGGATGAAATCTGGGTTCGAATCACAGCTCGACGCAATGTTTCTGGCACATCACTCTATATTCTTGGGTTTATTGGATCATCATATCACCGCAATAGGCAGTCAAATAAAGTGAATTCTAAATGAGCCTAATTGTTGATTCTCTGGGATGGTAGTTATAGTAACTTGATTACTGCTCTAGATTGGACTAAGCAACAACGGAATTGGCTTGCCTTCTGTGTCTTATCAACACCTTCATTCCCAAGCATTCCAGAAATTTTCAGCAATGATTGTGATGCTTCATCGTGTGGTACCTAGAAAGAAAACATTCTATAGAGACACTTTTTTATTGATTCATTTAGTAAATTTCTTTGCATATTTTTGGGACTATGCATAAGTCAGTGAACGCCCAACTTATGGAAAACCAGTGGTGCAGTGATAAACAATTCGGAGTGGATGGTTTTGTGATTGCAGAAACTACCTCCTAGAGCATGCCCTGAGCGTTCAATGACATGGAAAATAACATATATGATGAAGTAGATAAACGGAAGAGAACAGCACAGGCCACATTTGGGCCTCTCAAAGAAGCCACCAACCACTCAGTGACTCAAACTCAGTGCTCATCTTTTACACTCAACGGTCCCCAGCGCTCTTATGCAGCGGAGACGTGGGCTGATACTTCGACCATGTCAAGACTGCTACGAACAACTCACAAAGTGCCCGAACGATGTATTCTGAAATTTAGTCGGCGCACACAACATCTAGCCGACTTGAGTAGCTCAGAACTTGAAGTCTATCCCATCATCTTGATCCAGAGGACTATATCTATAGCCATAAACAGATGAGTCGGTCACATAGTAACGCTGACAGATAGGACGAAAAGAAGTGTGCTATGGATTCCACGACAATCTGCGCGTCCTCTAGGAAGTCCACCTTCACGCTGGACAGGTGTCTTCGTAAAAAGAATTGATCAGCTGTACTTGCAGCTGGTGATATTCTACAAGCCACGGTATGAGACCCGCACAAGCCGACATGCTCAAATAAACCACCACCATGGACGACCGTCGCGAGACAAAAAAAAACGGATGGAATATGTTCTGGGGTCTACACAACTGGTAGACCGTTTGAGTATTCAAGTAAGTATCTTCAAGAAATAACTGCTCAATCTTTCGCATTTCACCATTTTCTAGGAAGAACGGGTACTATTATATTACGGCGGCGCCGCTTTAGGCCTTCGGTAAAAAGCATAAGCTACATAACCACCTCATGCTCGCAAACATCTACTTTCTCTAACTCTAATTCTGCAGTGTTCACATTACTTTTCTGCGTTAAATCACTCCCGAACGGTTCTTTCTTTAACTCCTCATTGTCGTCCACATGGACTCCTTTTCATTAGTTCATGAATGTAGTCTCATATTATGCCGTGAGAATGACTATGTACCAGACCCACAAAGGATTTTTGTAAGGTGACACTTTTTCCCACACCACTATTTCCCCACGTGATTATCATCGCTAGGATGAATTGGATGTAATGTGAATCAGTGTTTACTTTCACGGTGATCATCTAAACCAGAAATAATGTGACGTTTCAAATTTGAGAGCGCGTCCTAAAGCATGCCTCTTTAAGGCCAAGACCAGAAAGCTACCGGTCTTTGTCTCTAGTCAAGATCATGTAAAGAACATTTTGTCGATGATGCTCTTCGTCTTACTTGAACGAACGGAGGCCCACAAATCAGCGATGACATTTCAGGCCTTCTAAGAAGTTTTGACACTGAAGCAATAAACACAAAAATTTTCAACCAAAAGTATTAAAAACTCCTTAATAACACTATTGAAGTATGTGCCGTCAGCCTGAACATATTTATGCCATTTCTTAGGCAACAAATCAATACAGCTTTGCGCAGAACTTTTGAAGCCTTCTTTTGGTACCACATTCCTCCATACTTGCGGCATTACGGCCGCTCAACGAAGTCTTGCTTGTAATTTGCTGCTTCACGAGCACTAATTGGGCTATGCTCATCATCTTTTGTGACCGAACCAAACCGATTCAGTGAAATTTCCTGCAAGCCTGAGAGATGATCAACGTGAAGTGCTACTGTGAGCACCTGCGCCGCAGTGATCGAGCCCTCTCACGTGGACGTTGTCGCAATCTCATCCTGCTTCAAATCAGCGCAAGGCTGCTTTTTATCCAATTTGCATACAGGAGCTTGAACAAACTGGACTAGGAGTTGCTCGATCATATGCCGTACAGTCCTCACTTGTCGGCGTCTGACTATCACCTCTTCCGCTCGCTAAATTTCCCGTACAAGAAGAAGTTCCGAAACATCAATTACATGCGTCAAGGATTGGCAACTTGCTTGGAATCCAAGGATGACGGGTTCTATGAGCGCGGTATTGACTTGTTCCATGAGAGATGACAGAGATGTGTTCAGGCTGTTGGCGCATACATTGAAGAGTGCTGCTAAGCAGTTTTATTTATTTCTGGTTAATAAATTTAGTGTTTATTGCTCTAATGCCAAAATCTATGAGAGGATCTATTAAAACAGGAAAATTCGGGGTTTAAGAGCTCCGCTTGCTTTAGCAATAAATAACTACATTACGAAATGCAAATTGTTAAAATGTGAATTATTCACACCTCTTCGCTGATGCTAATAAAAGTACATCATTCTCCTCACTCTTCTTTACTCTTTATGTAATCAACTTGAATTTCGTCTCATTTTTCATGCATTTATCTGACATTCTCCTCACTCTTCTTACTCTTTATGTAATCAACTTGAATTTCGTCTTATTTTTCATGCATTTATCTGATTTATCTGCAAATGCCTCTATATCGATTGCAATCAATTCATTGAATGGATTTTACTAGATACCCTCCTCATAACAGATGCTGGTCTGTGAGATCATCATTGGTGCCTTGGGTATTTGTTTGACATTTAATCTATTTTGGAAGGATATAACATGTTTTGAGCTATTAGATCTAGTGATAAACAAACGCCTGTTTCGTCCTATTAGGACTCATCAGTAGCACCATCCCTTGGTTCAGCCAATCCTCTGAGGCTGAACAATCCTCTATAAAGGATTCAACGCCGAGTAAAAAGAGTCATCCCAAGTCAGATAATGGACATATCTGACACTGTGGTGCCCGGCAGTCGCGTTTGTAGCTTTTCAAAGAATCATACCTCTCATTTCGACCGCTCTCTTATAGACCCTCTCAAAATGACATATTCTGATAATATGGTAATGTCAGGTAATTCCATCATCTGACTTGCGGTGATTTTGTACTCGGAGTCAATTCCTTAATCTTATTATAGAGGATTTAGCCGCAGGAGATCAGTTGAACGAGGGAAGGCGATACTGATGAGTACCAATAGGACAAAACGAGCGCTTGTATAGCACTAGACCTAACAGCTCAAAACATGTTATATCCTCATCAGATTATATCATTTTGAGCCAGTCTAAATATAAGCAGTCGAAAGGACGGCTATTTTGGAAGCATTCTACGTAATCCATTCTTCCTTGACTTTCGTGTTGACGGTCCATTATAAAATCCTAGATTTTATCTCTTGCATTATTAGACCGACTGTGTGACAATCCGTGTATAGATCTTTTCCGTTTGAGAACTCTCTTATCATATCGTCAGAGACAACTGATCCCGTCTTATTAACAAGAAAAGGCCATGACTGCGATTAGCTGGTTGGCTCTTTTAAATGGTGAGAGGAAAGCAGCAGATATGGGTAGATAGACTAGTTTTCAGTGTCGATCATCGGTTATTCATAAAAACATCAAAATGAGTGCGAAATAGTACCTTATACATTTTCAGTCGTACTCGTGGCATGAACACACAATGGTGATATAGAAGTATGCCAATCAGGAAGACGATCATCTCAGCAACGTAAACTGTTACAGCAACAATCTGAGAAAATTTCACTTTATTTTAAGGTTCTAGCAGTATTATGACGCTTTAAGTATTGACAAGGATGCTAAGTCCACTGCTCTATTACCACTCTTTCTTCGATATAAGTCACCGTAGCTGCAGGATTCTTGTAAATAACTAAGTTTAATACCGATGTGTGCTCACCACAAATTCTTTGATGCTTCGTTGTTGACGGATTAGCTCTGCGTAGTCACTCCGCTGGTTTATTTCTGTGACAGCCCTACATCTACCAGTCTTTTCTCCACTGCTGTGTTTCTATTTATTACTGCTGTGTTTAAACAGTAGCCTTTTACTTATACCCGGACCCACTAATTTGTAATTTATGTTACAGAGCTGAGGCTTTTCAAAAATAGTAAGAGACAGTGGATCCTGCGTTCATTTTGACCTTGCGAATCGGAATCCTACATAACAGATTGTAACTATGTACTCACCCAAAAGCTTTCAAATTGTTCCCACCATTCATCTTTCGGCATGATCAACTCTCTATCGGAGAACTCTCAACAATAAATTGAAGAGTTGACGTTATCAGATATGTGGTGGTGGCACACAAACGTGCGAGTATATTGAGAATCGCATTGTGAGTGGAGTGCTTGCGATAACTTTTCGAAATTGACCGTAATACTTTTCACATGCTAAAAGGATGAACACATGAGATAAGCGATCTTTAACACTGTAATTCGATTTCTCCAATGATGTGGTAACTCATTGATCAATGTGGTATGAAGCTTTATTTCAGAAACTCTGTGGGTCTATCAACGTTGTTTGTTTACCTAGTATGTTATGATTCGAAGTCGAAGAATTGCTGGGTTAGATTTGATGAGGAGTTCAATAATTACGAATTACGATATTCTACATAGTTCATTTGCAGAGAGATCTATTCCGTTACTTCTAGCAGTTAGACTAACCGCCAAAAACGTTAGCGCTACAGAAAGATGCTAAATCACGACGCAATCAATACTCATCGGCTTATCACAAGGCAGTAGGCTTTGTAATTTAGAGGATCTTTATTAGTCCAGTGTTATTTTGAGACGCCATGTCATGAATCCCTCAGATTCGGGTAGAAAGTCATGATCCTCAGCGCGCAATAAGCCGTGCAGACTAATGCATCATAACATCTAAAAATA